CTTCATTATTTACAATATTTGATTGACATTTTTTCAGAGTTCTTGTCAGATTTATTAACACATATATTATATTAACAATATTGAAGTATATTAACAGTAGTGAAGGAGAAACTTCAAGAGAGCTGTGCAACAATATATTCGAGAAGTGGTGTAAATCAGATGTGGATAGTTAAAAATTCCAAGGAACTTTTGGAAAATTTGAAATCACAAAAAATTACCAAAATCAACAACTTAAAAACTTACGACTTTTCAACTTTATACACAGCCATTCCTCACGATAAATTAAAGTCCAGTCTTTTTTATATCACTGACAGCTGCTTTTTCAATAAAAATGGAACTCGTAAATTTACTTACCTTGTCATTGGTCATCTGCAAAATTATTTTGTTAAAAAACATTCTGATTGTACACACAAGTACTCTGAAGTTCACATTAAAAAGATGCTTGAGTTTCTGATTGACAATATCAATGTGGCTTTTGGAGACCAGGTCTTCCAACAATCTATTGGATTTCCATGGGTACCAATTGCGCCCCGTTATTAGCAGACCTTTTTTTGTATTCATATGAAGCAGAATTTGTCCAAAATCTTATAAAGAAAAGAAGAAAACACTTGCTATGGCCTTCAACTCGACATTTAGAGATCAATTAACAATGGTTATTTCCATTCTTATGTCGATACGATATATCCCGGTGAGCTTGAGATAAAAGATACCACAGAATCTGATAATCTGTTTCATATTTATATATTTTACTTGAATAAGACGTTAATGGTAATCTAACAACCAAGCTTTATGGTAAACGTGATGACTTTAACTTTTCAATCGTCAACTTCCCTTACTTATGCAGCAATATACCTTCACCACCTGCATACGGGGTTTATATCTTTCAGTTGATTCGATACGCAAGAGCATGCTCTACGTATGTACAATTTCTAAAACGAGGTAAATTTTTGACAAACAAGTTTATGCAAAAAGAATATCAGCAGTCTCGTTTAAAGTTATAATTTCATAGTTCTATGGTCCATACAATGACCTTGTCAGGAAATACAATTTATCATTGAGTCAAATTCTGACTGACGTTTTTTATACTAATTGTTAGGCCTTTATTTATACACTGAATTGTCCACGGATTTTTCCGTTATTTCCGTTATCATAACAAGGAGCACACGGCGGGTGTGACCGGTCGGCAGGGGTTGCTCACTCCTCCATGGCACCAGATCCCACCTCTGATGTTTTGGAGGTCCGTGTTTGCTCTGCTCCTATTTTGTATTGTTTAATGGACTTTTGAGCTTAAATACTGTTCGTTATCTCCATATATTTCACATTCCAGGAAAACGACTTTTTTTCACACAATTGTGGTTCCCAGAACCCCTCTTACATTCTACACAATAGCCAGATCGTCTTTAGGAAAATGATTGGTGGTGTTCTGTAGAAGTGCAATAAGGTTTCGGAATTAACATTTCCAACCCTGGGCCCAAATGGGGTCGAAAAACGATTTTTTTTTATTACGAAAACCTGGTTCCCAGAACTCCTCTTACATTTTACTCAGTAGCCACATCATCTTTTGGATGGTGATAAATGGTGTACTGATGTGTAATAAGGTTTTGGAATTTACATTTTTACCATGGGAAAAGTTTCATTTTCATATCAAAGACCGATTTTGAGGGGGGGGGGGGGAGGGGGAGTCGAAAAACGACTGATAAAAGCCTGGTGCTCAATGCATTCTCATGTGCAGCAAGAATAATTATATTGTTTAGGGGTGGGGATCTCCATCATTTTAAAGATATTTGAACAATTATAAAATGATGGGGGTTGGGACCCTGAGCACTTACCCAACGGAATACTTCAGGCATCTTGACATGTGCAGCAAGAATATATATATGTTTTAGGGGTGGGAATCTCGATTGTTTAAAAGAAATTTAAATAATCATTAAATGAGGGGACAAGGAATGACCCAAAGGCTCTTACCGAACAGGATACTCAATACATCTTGATATGTGCAGCAAGAATATATTTATGACAAATGTTTATCAAGTTAAGTATTCTAAAAATTAAAAATAATTGATTTCAATTTTTTTTGAGATTCTTACCTGTTTTCAATCTCTCTTGAAACCAGTCACGATAGACTAGTGGTAGGAGGAGGTCCGGGTTCGATTCTCATTTGCATCGCCGCGTCAAACCTAAGACGTAAACATAGATTTGATTGATTGTATGTAGTTTTACACATACACCGGTGAAGGGCTTCAAATTTTGACCTATACTCGGCACTCAGGGCCATTGAGCAGCGAGGGTTCTTTATCGTGCCAACGCCTGCCGTAACACGGGACGTCGGTTTTAAAAGGTCTCATCCGCAAGACCTGTGACTTTCACTTCGAATGCCGGGCGCGCTTGGCAAAGGAACAGTAACTACCTATGTTTATGTCTAAGGTTTGATGCGGCTCGGCGAACCCGGGCCTCTCGATCACAGAGCAAACGCCCAACCACCAGGCTACTGTGACCGGTTCGTAAACATAGGAATAGGAAGTGACTGTTCGTTTGCCAAGCGCCCGGCGTTCGAAGTGAAAGTCACGTGTCTTTAAGATGAGACCTTAAAAACCGACGTCCCGTGTCACGATAGGCGTAGGCACGATAGAGAACCCTCACTGCTCAATGGCCCTAAGTGCCTAGTAAACTATTAAATTTAAAGCCTTTCACCGGAATACAGTGACGTCTCTTTCTGAGTGAAAAATTCTCGAATGAATGTTAAACAGCGTAAAATCAATCAATCAGTATTTGCTGTTTTGACAGCAAATTCACCAATTCCCAATTATAAACTAATTTAAAAAAAAATAATTTATTTTTTACAGAAAACGTACCAAAAAATCTTTCTGAAACAGAATTTAAACCATTAAAATATTTAGTTTTAGACAGGAAATGAATTTATTATTTGAAATACTAACAAACGGCATATGGGCTACATCACTCTCGCAGCTCACCAGTGCATTCTTTGCTCAATTTCATACATGTATAATTATACATATAATGTAGATTAGAGAATAACTATGAATGTAGATTGCTCATTACCCCGATAAAAAGGAGAGTCCATTTAACAATTTGCCATCGTAATGTCTCTCCTAACTACTACTAGCCTCATCTTCCCATGCGTCTTTGCCAAATAAGCCTGCGGCCGTATGGTGCCCAGTATTCGTCTGCTTCCACAAGGAGGCATTGCATAGAATTTGTTGTGGAGAGGTTATGTGTTAGCAAAGGAAGACTTACATTTGGCTTCCCTTTTCGCATTACTGCGAGTCAGCGATGAGGGTTGAAAGCGAGAGTTGACAAGCACAAAGACACTAACCCAACAAACTAGACGCATCACACACCTTTTAGCAGACTCTGACCTGGCTAAGCGCCTCCTTATTCTCATTTCCGAAAAAAAGGTATTTATATGCATACTCTTATCCGGCTATTCGCCTCCTTATTTCAGGAAAAAAGTATAAAGAATTTATTTGCATAGTAACTTGCATCTCTTCAATTGGTCAGACTAAGGTACAACTTTTGAGCTGTACCTCGCAGATTACCTGTTCTGCTGGGAACAACAACTGACACTGTCAACAAATCAGAGGGGGGGGGGGGGGGTCAAACTTGTGGATGTTTCAGTTCTGCAGAATACCTTTTCTTACAAGGGTCACTGAGCCAGTTTTTATCTAGTGTAGGAAACAGATGTAATGCAATATAAACGAATTTTTCTATCCAATCAAATATCGCACCCTTTTATTATGGGAATCCTTTGCACCATGGCCATCATAATTTATACATCAAATGATTGTGATGAGTGATTGACCCATGCAATAAATTTTCAGTAGGTCTAAAACTAAGCTGTTTCACCTTACATATTACTCTTGAGACTTTCTAACTGGTTCTGCTATTAACAAAAATTATGTCTACCTAGTAACAAAGAAATGTTCTGAGTGACTATCGAGATAGCTTAGAGAAACGACATTAATGTTAAGCTGAAGAGAATGTAGAAAATATACGTATCATAAACGCTTGATATAAGACTTAATACCTTTAAACGTAGAAGTGGGTCTGATAAAAAGGTTTACAAGTCCAAGTATGCCCCTCCCTTTTTTTTTTAGAGGTGTTGTAAACTGGACTTTAAAAATTTATATGCAATCATATTCAGGTAGCGTAGCTTAGTTTGAATAGAAAACAAGAATGTTCCTATTACAGAAAAGATGATGGATAGATGGAACTTTAATCTTTCATCTTCTTCACAAGAACAAAAGGACAATTAAATATTGAAGCATTTTCGGGTTTCAGATTTGTTCAAATCATTGACCCGAGGGTTGGATAATGCTACATTAGGGTTTCAAAATAAATGGCAATATACAAAGAGATATAAAAACGAATCAAGAGTAACAGGGCCACACTAAATCATACTCTCAAGTATGTATTCGATTATCTTGAGAATTATGGACGCTGGTAGAGGCTAGCAATTGTGGATCAAAATTTTCAAATATATCTATAAAGGAATAAGAGGCATATGGCCCTTCAGCGATTATCAAGAGTTTCTGAAGCTATCACGTGCACCATTTTTGGCACAACCAGAAATGGAATTCTCATGTGACAAAAATTTTACAGTTTGCTGAGGATGTTTCGGTAAGTATTTTTTTTTTATCAATTACGTACATTTACATCATTTTTATGATAGGACTTTCTCTCTAGGTGGAGATGTCAAGATCTGATTATTAAATGATTGCGTAATATAAATTGCATTTCATATTGCTGTGTACATATTAATAGAAATTGTGCAAGGGCTTTACTTCATGCCAAACAATGTAGTCATTCGTATTTTTTTTATTTTAAGGAAATTATTGGTTTTTCAATCGTTGTATAACCACGTATTGTAATTGATGGATGATAGCACGTGTATCTGACAGGTCTCAATACCATTATAGGAGGAACTTTCACCAAGATTAACAAAAATCACGTAGGTTTCTCTTAAAGACATGAAGACATCAGAGGTGGATTTGCACTGCTTGCAAGTTTGCATAAAGTAAAATGTGCCAACCATTGATTACAGATTTATCATATTAAAACGAGCCAAAACTATTTGTGGGGTTTGTTGTTCATTAACGCACAAACAACGTGTTACACAGACAGATGACTGGGATTTATTGAACATGGAATATATAAAATTATTCACTCTATCAAAATTCATTCATGTCTTCCCTCGTTTAAAAAAAATCATGCAGCAGATTTACCAGATTCCTATTTGGGCTTTACTTCTAATTACTGGGAACTTTGGGGTTAAGTTACATAGTAAGTGTTTTTGTTTTTGTTTTGTTTTTTTTGTTTTTTTGTTTTTTTTTTTCAAATTTAATTGAATGTGTTAGTGTAACTTGTCTTATTGTAACTTCGTCCTAGTGCTATTGAACATGAAGTGCAAGTCCGCCTCATACATTGTGAATCATTATTCCATGTCACTACGTAACTTCCCTTGTTAAAATAGTTGTTTACTTTTAGATGAATTATATGAAATTCATATAATTCTTTAAAATTATCATACGAGGAGTGATCAAAAAGTTCGCGAACTGATTGAATTACTTCCATAAATGAAATGAAATTAGGTTTCAGTGTTCATTTTTTTTTTAAAGTAGTCCTCTCCGATTTAAACGCACATCTGCCATTGTTCTGCCCATACGCGAATCACGTCATACATGCGGTCACGTGACATGCTTGGAAGCCTTCCGTTCTCAGAAGGTAAAAGACTTTTCCGAGTCTTATATTTCTTACCATGCAAGTTATTTTTTATAACAAGAACAGTCAATTTTTCAAAATGGCCAAATCTCGGCAATAGGACGGGTGGATAAGTATATCTTTTCCCAGAATGAGCATGGTGATCATCACAATCCGAGTCCTCTGTCTTGGAAACGTCGTTTATCCAATGTGGATAAAGTACGGGTGCCTTCTTTTTATCATATCTGATATGTTTAAAGTCTTAAGTAAACGATATTTTAGGGATTTAATAACTATATTATTGTTAAGATATTCAACTATTTTTCTAACTGTAACTTGGCAGTCTTTCATAACAAATTGCTCAGCTAAGGACACACCTCTTTCCCAGCTTGCTTTCAGTGGGCAACAGAACAAACAACATTTTTAACCATCTCCCTTCTTTCACTAAAGCAATCAATCCAATGAATGATTGAATTCCTGGCAAGACTTTTGACTTCATAAACTTTGTACAAATTATTATGTGCTATTGCAAAGGAATTTCCAAGATACACATTAAACTTTACAGCCGTTCGTTGCTCGAGTACGACTGAGTCAATCATTTTTTGTCACAAGTAACCTACCTATTAACGTCATTTTCACATTGTGACGTCACAAAAATGGAACAAAACATTACGTAACATCTGCTATTTATAGAACATATGTATGACTACATGTGTATCAAATTTCATTCTGATCTGAATGGTGGTTCTGTAAATATAGAGATACTTCGCGAACTTTTTGATCACCCTTCGTAAATCAATAATTAGTAAACTACCATATTACAGCGAGAGGGAAAATTTACCAGCACTGTGTGTAAGAAACAGATTTAAAAAGTCATATCTAGATAAAAGTTCTTATATTTTTATTATTTTTTCCCCTTAATTTATAGATGATCCAATTTCAAAGAAGTTCAACCGTGTATTGTCTATTCCTCAGACTAAGGGCATCGATGTAGTGTCTAAGAGTGTGCCCAATTATTCCAAGGGGGGTATCACGGCTGTCCTGGGAGACGTGCTCTGTAGATCCTGTTGTACATTACAAAGAAAACGGGAAAAGGACAAATGTGTTCTGAAATTCTGTATAAGTAGAGTGCACTGTATCTAAACCGTGCAGGAGTTTAAATGAATATACAGCCACGTGGAACATGCCATCTGCAGTATGATTTAGATTATGGAACAGTGGCAACTTTCAGGAAATTAGATTGGTTAGAGTGTAAATCTGAAGAAAGAAAGGATACAATGAGTACTTTATTGTTTTATGATTATTTATAAATTTGCGGGACAAATGTGCATTTGATATTTATTCATTAGGATATGTACATCATAATTATGTTAATTGAACATGAAATGTAGATGGGATACAAGACTGTAGTTTTGTTTATTGGATGTGTATGTTTTATACTGCAAAGAACTGATTGGATATTTTACATAAATATGTATTCTGATATATCTTTTTTATGGAATATTTATGTATATAGGTGAATTGTCCTGGACTATTTGTACAAGTTCTGTATTTAGTGATTTTGTTCTTCGGCAGAATAATTCATCTTTGTGGAGCGCAGTATTCTACATCATAAATCAATTTTGTTTTTCTGTCAGTTGATGCTACAAATTAGCACATTATTTATTATCTTCGAAAAAGAAAAGTTTACTTATATTTTCATTATATTTCAACCAATGAACAAATATTTTTTTCTTCCTTCTATTTGTTTTGATACCAAACCATGAAGCAAAACAAGTAGAAAAAAAAAGAAAAAGAAAAAAACGTACATTGATAACAATGTTAACATCGGATTTCGCAGTTTTCTTTAATTAAATGCTGTATAAAATGTGTATAAAATGTGTGTGATGTGTTGGGGAGGTACATTGTATTATAAGTTCACAAAAGCACATGTACGCACATGCTTACCGTACAATCAATAAATCGTCGTTAAAATATAATAACGATTACATACAATGGAAATTTTCCAATCTATCTGACATTCACCCATAAAAAAACTTTTCCCTGCATTTTATCGATTAAAGCACTTCATTGGAAATTTTAGACATACACGTATTTAAAAAAATGTTTTAAGTCATGTAAGTTTTGTTTAAAAACAAATGTGTTTGTGAAACACTGTCACGTGGTCAAGCTGGCTATCTCCAAAAATCACACAAATTCAACTAAGTTTTAATAAATTTATTAATAAAAAAAAAAGAATAATAATAATAATAAAGAAGATTTCAAACAGACAACCACACTCTGATCCTCACACTCTTCCACACTATTAAACCAAAAAAAAGAAAAAATAGCAATTGGTAACCAATAATCAGACAATTAACCAATTAACCCCGGGTATAGATTTCACTCAAAGTATCATTGCCAAACATGTTCACAGATCAATGATTATCCTTGTCATAATCATCAACATCATCTTCGTCAACATCATCATCCTCATCCTCGATGCAGGAATGAAATCATTAGGTTTGCCATTTCGTCAGTGTTCGTATAACGAGCTAATACAATGTTACGTGGATTGACTTATCTGTATCTGTCCACCATCACTGAGTCTTGATCCAAACACAGCATCCTTCCGGGTCTTAGTCCTGGAACCTTTCGCTGTGTCTCGACGATCCCCTCAGCTTAGTGCATGTATCTAGCACATGTCATACCAGTGTTCTTGACGCTACAATGACGAATATTTTTAAGTCATATGTTTCACTAATTAATGTTTGGCAACACTACTATGTTTGGCAATTCATTCTCATAAATAAATAAATCAATCAATAGGTATAAATTATAATGGTTACCAGTTAACATAAGTCAAAACAAATTATTGCCAACATGGCGCACCTTACTTTCGACTTCCGGTCATTCACTTCCGCCCAGACATTTAAACCAAAATTTAAATGGACAAAATATTTCACATAATGTAACAAATCTGAATACAAGAAAATTGCGTACAATAGCACCTTTAAACTCTATCGATATAATACAAAAGCCATTCGAACACTCTCGCTAACCGTCACACCTGACTGAACAACAGGTAAAATTGTGAGAGCTGGCCAAGTTCAGAAATAAGAACGAATACGTATTCAGTAATAAATTTACTTAAAAAAAACTATATACATAACGAATATTAATAATATTATAAGTAAATACTTACCACGGACCTGTCTCCGTGCCAAAGCCAAGATACTGATTGTATGGCAGCTATTTGCATGTACAATTAGAAACGTGTCTGCAGCTACGCTTCTCTGCCGGGAATGACCAGGCCTCAATTGTTCTGGTCGGCCAAGCTATTTTGCAAGGGCTTATGGGTAGATGGGGCATAGGGACAAAACGCGGGAAATACAAATAATATGTACAAGTATAATAGTGATTGTTACAAACACTGATAACTCCGTATGGCAGCTTATGGCGAAGTTTCTCAAATGCAAGTCAAACTCGAGGTCAAGAGGTCCAAAAAAGTTGGTACCCAAAGAAAGGTCTTTCCTGTGAAAGAATGGGTGGACTTAACGCCCTATTTTGGATCTTTTTGCCACTACTCTACCAAGCTATAACAGTGTAAATGAAGTGAATCCAATATATATTACAAGCAATAGATAGAGTTACATATACATGGTTATATTAGGTAGAACATTTGTACAAAAGCAGTGCCCTGTTGCCATGAATCAAAATTGAAGCAACGACACATTAGTGTCGTTTCCAGAATTTGGCATGTACCCGGAGTGGTCTTAAGGTCACGTAATCAATATTAATAGGAGGCGGGGCTATCGATCGGCATCATTGTTGACATCTCTCTCTCTCCCTCTCCCTCTCTAGAAATTCGAATATGTGTATGACATATTACAGCGATGTCAATATGAAATTAAAAAAAAATGTGCGGACACGCAAAATTAAAACAACATATAATTTGCTAAATTCTGAGAACGGCAACCAAACACGCTCCACGACGTGATTTAGATCGAGGTCAGTTTGAAGAATACAATGTAGCTGTTTTCACGAGTACACTCGCAGGTGGACATCACGTGATGAATTGTAATATTTAACAGGTCAATCGAAGTCAAATCAAGGTTAACCCAGTCATAACAATGGAAACGAGAAGTTTGTTTTGAACATTTCTTTTTGTTAAATTAAGTGTGAGCGCACGTTTGTCGGCTCTTATCCTTTTAATATGACATTATTTTGTTCAATATACAACTACAGATTTCTTAAGAACAGCCGACAAACATGCGCTGACTATGTATTCAGACGATGAAAAACACGTGACTCTGATTACCTATTGATATTCAAGAAATCTTCAGACACCATGCCTTCGATATTTATTTAGTTTACCTCGAAAAGAGCGTTTTAAATTCACATCTGTACCATGAATACACGGTTAAGATATCGGGGATTTATATGATGGAAAGAAATAAACATTTTATGAAACTTAAATTTACGGCATTTTTTCAGGCCAGTTAAGTCCACCCATTCTTTGAAACCCCTAGCACCAATATTTCAAAAGTAATGGCCAAGGTTAAAATTAAAATTTAAAATTAAAGTATGTCAAACTCCAAGGTTAAGTTCAAAAGGTCAAGTTGTTGGTATCCAACGGAAGGTCTTGTCACAAGGAATACATATGCGAAGTTTCAAAGCCCTAGCATCAAGTGTTCAAAAGTTATGGCCATGCAAGTTTAAAGTCTCATAAAATTTTGCAAAAGCGGGTTAAACTCTAAGGTCAAGGTCAAAAGGTCAAATATGATGGTACCCAAATAAAAGTCTTGTCACATAGATACCATTTTTCAATGAAAATCGACCTCGTAAATTTACCTACCTTATCTTTGATCATTTGCAAAATTATGTTAAGACGTTCTACATGTAATTGTAACACAAGTACTCCGAAGTTGATTTTAAAAAGATGCTCGAGCTTCTGGTTGACAATGTCTATGCAGCTTTTGGAGATCAAGTCTTCCAACCCATGTATCGGAATTTTCATGGGAACTAATTGCACCCCGTTATTAGCAGACCTATATTTTTTTATTCATTTGAAGTAGAATTTATTCAAAAAGTTCTACATGAAAAGAAGAAATCTTTTGCTTTGGCCTTCAATTCAACATTTAGATATATCGACGACGTTTTAGTCAATTAACAATATTCATTTTCATCTCTACTTTGATTCGATATATCCCTTTGAACTAGAAATAAAAGATAGGGAGTCTGACACATCTGTTTCATATTTGGATATTTTACTGGAAAAACACGTTAATGGTAACCTAACAACAAAACTGTATGATAACGTGATAACTTCAATTTTTCTATCTTCAAACTTTCTTAGTTACGTAGCAATAGATCAATGTCACCTGCATATGGAGTTTATGTCTCCCAGTTGATTCGATACGCAAGAGCATGCAACAGTTTCTAAATCGAGACAAGCAAATAGGTTAATTTTATTTTTAAACAATGTCTTATTATGCAAAATCATAATAGGATTGGACAGCAGGCTCTGTCTATATAGATCCTGTCCATAAATAGGTTGATTATACAATGATATCAACAGTCTCGTTTAAAATCAACATTTCGCAAATTCTATGGTCGATACAATGACCTTGTCAGCAGATACCATCTATCCTTAAATCGAATGTTGTCTGATTTTTTCATAGAAATTGGTAGGCCATTATTTTCAGTGAATTGTTTACGATTTTTCCGATTGTCCGATAATAAAAGGAGCACACGGCGGGTGTGATCTTCCGACAGGGGATGCTTACTACTCCATGACACCTGATCCCACCTCTGATATTTTTAGAGGCTCGTGTTTGCTCTAAATTTTTATGGTTCCATGGACTTTTGAGTTTGATTATTGCTCGTTATCTCCATAATTCATTCCGATTTAAAATATTTTTTAAATGTTCAAAACAAATCTAAACTTCACCTGTTGAGTCAATACCAAAATTATTTAATAGGTGACAACATGACACTCGGGAACAGGTACCGTTATTGAAGATTTAACATACATGTATACTTATACTCATCATTTTGTTGAAAGAGCGTCAGATCTGATAAATGAAATAAAGTTTGCTATGAATTTCATGTTATGTAGACCATGAAGGGTACACGTGGACAATAAGTAACTATACATTATATCATTGTTGATGCCTTTCTTTAATACGGATTTGTTAAGTATATTTTTACTTCTCTCTGATGTGTACATATTTAACTAAGGTCATCAAATGGAGAAATGGTACATACAAATATATATATAGGGTTGAGGAACAGTCATGCATTCTTTTTTATGAATATATTTGAATCAATTATAAAGCAGGTTATGATATACTCCAATAAATCCTATTTTGTCCAGTTAGAATATACAGCATGAACCGTTGAATTTTTCATATGAGAATATTCATTAAATCTTAATGTTATTCTAGAGCTACATGAAACAACTAGAACTTTCTTTAATGGATAGCGTGTATGAAGGTTTACGAAATTCAATTTTAAGTTATTAAGATATGAATTTAAGCATAAATCATGGGGCTGATTTTTATTTTGGTGGTATTGGGTAAGGAGAAATTGTCGCTTGTAATCACTATTGACATGGCTCATGAAATATGTGCAGAAAATGTGGTTATCACTAGTGTTTTCTTTTTAACTCGACTAACTACGTTTCTAACAACTTGATTTTACTTAAGATTAACACTATTGAAGGATCTTTTATTTGCGTAAAATGAACGGTAAGAATACAGAGTCTGACACATCTGTTTCATATCTAGATATTTTTTTTAAAGAAAAAGACGTTAATGGCAACCTAACAGCAAAACATTATAAACGTAATGACTGTAATAGAAAAGAAATTCAGCCGCACAATTTTTGTTCATCTAGTCAGAGATATAGGCTATCAGACCCCTGTAAGAAGATGGTGGAATCAGACATTCAACATTGAAATTAAATGTGCATTTTTTTTAAAAAAAAAAAATTACCATTCATAGATTATGTGTGTTGCAATTTATAATTTTTATTATTATATTTCAGTAAACTAAGTGATGTGAATACATTTGAGTACACTGATAAAAAATAGAACACATATCGCTCGGTAATTGCAAATTCTCACGCAAATATGCTTCATGATCTCGCAGAAGAAAATGTATCATTAAAGAACAGGGATCACCTAGGGCTTTTTTGGCCCTGTGAATTTCTGAAAGATCAAAACCGCTCAGTTTTAGTTGAAAATACATTAAATATCACTTGGACCCTTGGTGATTTGGTCAGTTAAATAGCATATGGACAGGGTCATTTTATGGAAAAGTGAATCTAGCTCTTTAACATCAAAATCAAGAGAATGATTGACATAGAACAAAGATTTAAATGTCGACGAATTTTCCGTTATTTCTCGATCATGACAAGGAGCACAGGGCCGGTGTGACCGGTCGGCAGGGGATGCTAACTTCTCCATGACACCTGATCCAACCTCTGATGTTTACAGGTCCGTGTTTGCTCTCCTCCTATTTTGTATTGTTTAATGGACTTTTGAGCTTGAATACTGTTCGTTATCTCCATACATTTCATGTGTTAAAATGAGGGAAATTGAACCATGGGTTTTAGATATTTTTTGAGATTTAAACAAACGGATGTCCTTCGGAATAGAACACCCTGTGTCTCAGTAGATACTGGCTCGAAAAAGAACTGCTCAATGACCACACAGATCTAACTTTTCAGCCGTCGATGGGCAAGTGAGGTTTCCCAACAAGAGTAAAAAATTCTCGAGGGGACGCAAAGCGAATCAACCAACCAACCAACCATTAAAGGTATCAAAGTGAAAAAAAAGTGTTGATATAACGAACAGTGATCGATTTCAATAAAACCTACAACAATACAAATCTGTAAACAGGGCATAAAAACAGATTCCTGGAAATTCCAGTGGTGGGATCAGGGCCTAGGAGGAGTAAGCATCCTTTTCACATCCGCCGTGAGCTCTCTATATTGATTAGGTGGATGGAATATTCCGTAGTCAACTGAGTATAAAAACAAAGGCCAAATAATTGGTATGAAATGTGACCTAATAATAGGTAACATTTCCTAATTAGGTCATAATAACGCCCATAGATTTTATTAAATGCTGATTTTAAACATAGCCAATGTTAGTTGTTTTGCTATGATAGATTTAATTGTTGTCAAGAAAACATTTTGTGTTGTAGATAGTGCTCGGTGGTGGATGTCTATTTTCAGGTGGTTGTGCTAATAGCTCTTGAATCTTTCCCTTTAATGATTAAGGAATCTGCGGAGAAAAGGTCTTTCGTCATATTTATTTTTGTTACATTTCTGAAAATTATTTTAATCCAAATTTCTAGAGTAATTACATCTAGCTTAGCAATAACAAACCATATAACAAAAAAAATCTAATTTATTTGGTGAATAATTTTCGTAGTTATAAACTAATTTGAAGCCGTGGAACTGGGCAAATTATCAATAGTTTTCATTCCTATCAAAAGAATTATAATTTGAATTTGACCAGTTAAGAAGTAATTCTGTTGTAATTATCAGGTAGACAAATATTTGTTTTTTCAAACAGACTTTAATTAATTTAGCCATTTTCAAAGCATTTGAATGTAGGTTATCTGATTTGAAATGAGAGGAACATTTTGAAATGGCACTCAAGTAATGAGACTGGATCATACTGACGTAAAAATGTACAACATTATGTAAATCTCTCTCGAATGGTTTGAAATTGGATGATTACAAGGGATTGAGAAACATCTAAAACCGTGATGTATAGTAAAACGGGAACGTGGATTTCCAGTGAATGGCGGACCCACCCAGAATGAAGAGCTTATATCCCTGTGGCGTGGGAATCCTGGAGAGATATTTGATATGGTTTTCAAAAGAGCAGCTATGTTTGTTTGTTATATGATGATTCTTTCACACACATTTGCCGGAGAGGAAGCCACCTTACATCGACATAACCGTACGTGTAACTCTTTTTCAATTTTATTTTAGAAAGACATATGTTAGAGAGTTGATATACTAGAAAAAAAGAGACGAGTTTATCAGGGATTTCAGGGAAATTGTTTGTGAATATTAACTAGTCTCGTCGAAATGGATGCCTATATGAATGTCAAGTGTGAGGGTTTACACTGTTGAATTATTGATCGTGTTTATGATATATTAGAATGAAATTTTCAGCTTGAGTTACCAAGAAAGTTTCATAAATTATAAGGTTTGTAACAGTTCTTGCATACCATCATTAAAACGGATGTGTCCAGCTACAAAAATTGACACATGTATTTTAAATTATTGTAATATTTTACTTTCCAATCGCAAAAATCCTGAAAAAAAATGGAAAGACTTATTTCCTCTACTAAAATAGCAGTTAAACTACCTTTGCCGTAAGTGGAGATGTTCCTTTATTACAGGTGTGTAACTGACCCCATAATTACTGGACATTGTGTGTAGTGTTTGATATAGTGGAGAGGTTCCTTTCATTACAGATGTCTAATTGACCCCATGGTTACTAAATATTGTCTGTAGTGTTTGATATAGTGGAAATGTTCCTTTATTACAGGTGTGTAACTGACCCCACGATTACTGGACATTGTGTGTAGTATTTATCCTTAGTGGAGATGTTCCTTTTCATTACAGGTGTGTAACTGACCCCACAGTTACTAGATAATGTCTGTAGTGTTTGATATGGTGGAGATGTTCCTTTTATTTCAGGTGTGTAACTGATCCTACAATTATTGGACATTGTGTGTAGTGTTTGATATAGTGGAGAGGTTCCTTTTATTACAGATGCCTAACTGATTCCACAGTTACTAGATATTGTCTGTAGTGTTTGATATAGTGGAGATGTTCCTTGTATTCTAGGTGTCCCACTGACCCCACGGTTGCTGGACATACTCTGCAGTGCCTGCTGTAAAGGACTGACGCTCAGAAAAAGTCTCTGTGTAGTACGTTTTTGTATGAAGCCGCAATGTGCCAAATTCTGACAACTATTGGCTGTTGGATGAAACACTGCAATGTTTTCTGACATCATTCCACAGACATTTTTCATAAAAAAAATGTTTCTTGTATATATGTATGTACCTTATTAGATTATATATGTTCGATATATATTTTTGTTAATAAAAACAAAACATAATGTAGAAACTGAATTATTATCATATCCATGAGGTGTTATTCTTTTTTCTTTTTTATCAAAAGAGGCTATGATCAACATGACACTGATAGATGTAGTCAACGAATTCATCTTCATTCATATGAATAGTTGAAGCATGTATTTATGTTGTGTGTTCAGATAGAAATCCTTATTTTCCATTTTAGCTTTACCTTCATGTAAATATATGGTAAATAATTGTATATTTTGAAATGCAAAAGCAACCGTAAGATATAGATTTTTACTTATACGTTTATTTTAAATACAAATTTTCATTACTTTACAAAAATCATAACTGACACAATATATATTAAATTGCTACCCAAACGACCGACAGTTTGGGCCACGGCTTACACAAAACCGTCTAACACAATTGTTATAGTGGTACCAGGGTACTCGGCAGCATATAGCACAATAAATGTCCCCAAACTGTGTACGAAGAGAGGGTTGGGATGCAATAAGATCTGTAGGTGGGTTAGGTTGGACTACCCCAGGGTTTCCTGGACCCTCTTCGGGAGGAGTCACGGTTCTGGTGATATCCTCTGGGGGGAATATTCCTGGTCTTGGTCTATAGGGCCCCCACGGCGGATATCGCCGGTTTCTGTGCCTACGTAAGTGATCATACTGAGTTTTCCAGTCTGATTCTCGCCACGGCTGGCTGATTGATCGACTTCCAAACCGTCCAGAGTGGCCTGCTAGATAAAAGATACTCCTAGTATGTAATACATTAATTCGACTGAAGTCTCACTTAACAACAGAAACTTTATCTTAATGCATCTTAATTGACTTCTATGTAGTTTTTTTTTCTGCAGAAAGAACACGTAAAATTTTTTTCATTGACTAATGATCTATAAGGTTTTTTTCCTTACAGCTGTTGTAAAAATTGATATTGTAGATCATTTAGGCAACATTTTTAATGTAATATGTCTAACGCCTCATTAACGAACTCATAAATATGCCTGTGGATCGTATTTCTATCAATTATATCATAAAAAATACTATCGTGACTTGCATGATAACCAATTGCTAAGATATTCACAAAAGACTTAGGGCTACTTGTACAAACACAAACTTTAAAAAAAAATCATCAATATAGATACCATATTTATATTTATATAAGTATTGAAATGAATAAGTTTAGTCTCATCAAGTTTAATTTTTGTTCATAATTTCTCAATAATGTCCCAGGGAGTTATGAAAATGATAGATATTGATTTATAATTGGAATAACAAAAAAAAAAAAAAAAAAAAAAAAAAAAAAAAAAAAAAAAAAAAAAAAGAAGGATTTTAAATAGAAAATCTTTAATTCCTCTTGATTTACAACAAAAATGAGTACAAAAATTTTTAATCAATCCATGCATCTAATGTTCTGTTTGTATTATGTAATTTAGGAAATATTATGTACTTAGATAGTTCTGGCGAGAACGTTGTCTTTAAGTAATATATAAATTACTGAAACTATTATATCCTGTGTAATATAGTGTACACGTTTGCAATTTTACCAGCATATGTACTTAAATGATATGTATTTTGTTTGCTTTGTTTATAGTTTTGGTTTTGTTTATCACTGTTCGTTATTTTCATATTTCATGTCTATGTTTCTAACTAGATGTCTCTTGACTCTAACAAACTAAGCTATTTGTAGCAATTTGTGTCAGACAAATTCACTCTGGTTATCATAAATTATGAAAGTGTCATTGTAACTCACAGTTTAGGACATTGACTTGCAGTGCTAATTATTCTAAAGAATAATTATTGAATTAAAGCTAAGTTACCGATTAAAAAAAGATTATTGATGTAAGACGAATTACAGAAAGATATTTTTCTTTCCAAATATTACCTCCATCAGACAATAAACTCTTTTTTATAGTAATCTTTATGTAAGATACACTCTGTAAAGTATCATTTATTAACATACTGTACATCTTTTGATTTAGAGCACCAATAGCTTATCATTTATTGTTTATAAAGGCTAATGATAAATCATTTCCGTTCACATAAAAATGTCTGCGTACATGTATTCGGAATTACCAATTTGCTATTGTGTACTAAGTAATAATTGTCATTAACTGCAAAAAATATGTTATATCTGCATGACTCAGTAAATAAAATGTCAGAAATATTAAAATGTTAATAGAATAGTATTTTGAAGAATCAAGGAAGATCTTACCTGATTTTCGACTCCTAAAATTTCCTCCTTGAATAAATCTTTGTGAAATACCGAACTGGACAATCGAGATGAAGGAGAGAAAGAAGTACGGCCGCATGTCGATAATGATTTGGCGTGATATGTGTCACTCAGGTAAACCTCTATTATTAGGCCTCTCTTTTGTCGCCCGACAACTTCCATCAACTAATTAGGGCTCCAATTCATCTGTCACAATCACAACCTGAGTAACACCTAATTATATGTTTGTATATCTAGCTTATATTGGTCATCAATGTATTTTTTCGGTTTGCAGTACAGGAGAATTTCCTTTTATGATGGGTATGTCTATGATATTGATGCTTTTGAAATAAATGAACTTAAAAAATTTTGAAAGTAAGTTAAACAGAGGACGTGGTACAAAAGTAAGACAGTAGAAATTGGAGGGATTCAAAATCAGCTATACGTTCTAAATTCTTTTAACATTCCAGTCAACGAAATTGAATTTGAATAAAACCCTATCTGTACTGGATTCCAAAACTTTAAAAATTCCTTACAAAGATGCATTGCAGGATACAGTAAATGCTCAACCTTTCAGTCTTCACCGAAATATTAACTGCTGTGACGGGAAAACTTCAGACGTACTGTGCTACAACTTATTCAGAAGTAACGCCAGTGTAGATTTTGAAACACTCAAAAGAGAACTTTAAAGTCACAAAACCAAAATTAATACTAAGTAACATCAAAGTGTACGACTTTTACAAACAGTGTATACAACCTTTCCTCACGAAAGACTAAAGACCAGGTCATTTGACATAAAAGCCAACAGCTTTTTCAATAAAAACGGAACTCATTTATTTTCATATCTTGTGATTGGTCTTCTAAAGAAATAACTTTGTTAAAACATTCTTATTCTACACACAAGTACTGAGGATGCTAGAGTTTCTCTTTGACAGTATATATGGAGATTTTGGAGACAAGGTCTTCGAACAACTTGTTGGAATCCCGATCGGAACTAATTGTGCTCTTTAATGGCCGATCTTTTTTTATTTATATTTTTATGAAGCAGAGAATTTCTTCAACGACTTGTACATAAGAAGAAGAGAGTCTTCCTTTTAGATACATCGAGGACGTTTTATCATTTAATAGTTATATTCATTCGTATGTTGTTTCGATATATCAGATTGAACTCGAAATAAAAGACACCGCAGAATCAACTAAAATAAATCTGTTTCATACTAGTATTTGGATGTTATACTGGCATTGTCATTTTCCTTTATTTATGTAGTGACATTCCACTATGACCTATATATGGTGTGTATCATACATTGTGTCTCCCAGCTGATTCGATACGCTGTAACATGCAATGAGTACGATCAAATTTTAAATAGAGGCAGACTACTGACAAAAAAGTTGATATTTCATTGATTTCAACAATCTCGTCTAGGTTGAAAGTAATATTTTGCAAATTCTATGGTCGTAATAATGACCTCGTTTGCAAATAGAACCTATCGTTGGATCGTATTTTGACTGATGTTTCATACAAATTAGTGGCCAGTACTCCTTTAAACTAATCAATGAAGAGGGCTCAAGTCTGTCGGTCGACAGAGGATACTTATTCCTTCTAGGCACCTGATCCCACCTCCGGTGTTTCCAGGGGTCCATGTTTTTGCCGTGGTCACAATTTGTATCGTTTAAAGGAATTATGAGATCGATCACTGTTCGTTATTTTCACCTTTTAAAGATATATACAATAATGGTTAAAGGCTATTTATGTTTTTTCTACAATAATGGTTCAATATATTTTGTCTCTGTCTCTCTTTTTCTACACCTTGATTAAATGTAAAATATTGGATTAAAATTATTGTTTAAAATAGTGTTTCCACTAAAACGTGATAACAAAAACAGACTTAATGTAAATTTCGCTAAATAATCTAGAAACTAGGAAATTAGGTGATCAAATTCCTCAAACGAGTCAGGGCACTTCAATTTGTTATTAATATACATCGACAGCTTATCATCTATTCAAATACACAAAAATGCTACGTTGAAGTATCGTTGCAAACAAGGGATTTGAAGAGAGAGAGAAAAAAAGACGTCAATGAATGTTCATTATTTGAATGAGTAATCGTGAGAATAAATTAAATATCAGGGTTTTTCGTGCATCGTGAAGTTTTTTATGCACTTTGTTTCTATATGCAATTTTATTCAAATTATTTTTTAAAGGAAAAAATAAGCAAGCAAGCTTTCATTCGATCACTGTTCGTTATCTTCACTTTTTCATTGGTCTACCCTTGTATCTAAATTAAAATCGGAAAAAATAGTCCTAACCAAGCATTTTGAGCATTTTATTAGATACAATTTAATATTGGAAAACCCTATTAAATTTGTTTTGTCCATTATCATGTACATTATTTTGTACAATGTATGTAAATTAAATATGAAATACTCCGTCTACCTGATAAATACATAGGGTTCACGGCGGGTGTGACTGGTCAACAGGGGGTGCTTACTCCTCATTAGCACCTTATCCCACTTCTGGAATTTCCAGGGGTCCATGTTTTATATTCTTACAGATTTGTATTGTTTGTAGTTTTTTTTCTTAGATCGATCACCGTTCGTTATCTTCCCCTATTTCATGTAAAATGTGATAATAACGAATAATTATCAATCTCATAAATCCAGTAAACGAAAATAATCTGTGAATTACTGATGATTACTTATTATTATTAATTATCAAAACCTCCATTGGAGTAATAAAACCCCACTTATTGAACAATGGTTTAGATACATATACAAATTTTTTATTTGTCATCAAGGATTTCTTTTAAAAGATAGGTATATTCAAAGTTTGCATGATATTATATATATTTGCCACTTTTTTCAGCTTTTCAAAGTCCTTTTTATTTAAATATTTTGGATTTCCAACCTTTCGGCATGAACATCACTGAAGAGACATAATTTGTTGAAATACGCATCTTGTGCATCAAAATTGGTACCTACCGTATATGATTTACATTATGACCCCTCGGTAGAGGCCTCTGCTGGTGGACTGTTAGTCGTATTTGGCTCCAGTCTTTGCCACCTTTTATTCAGCTCTTCAAAGTCTTTTTTATTTAAATATTTAGGATTTCCAATCTTTCGGCATGAGCATAACTGAAGAGACATAATTTGTCGAAATGCGCATCTCGTGCATCAAAATTGGTAACTACCGTGTCTGATTTACAATATACTTATGAGTATATTATTATACTTAATGCTAGACCAGTATCCAGAAATTAAGATAGTCCTCTACATAAGGTTATTTCCGTAGTGACCATTAAACTAGATTAAATAAAGATACTTTTAATGGAATATTTAAATTAAGAATTGAAAAAAAAAGATTTATTCTTATATGTATAATTTTTAATTTCGTGTCGCAACAACGCAATATATTTTTAGGCAAGTACCGGTCGATTTAAACAAAACTTAGTTAACTTACTGGGAATATTCAGTAATTTGAATACAATTCTATGTCTCATGCTTGTTTTTTTTCAATCTCATACAATATATCCAAATATGATTTTTATATATATATATATATATATATATATATATATATATATATATATATATATATATATATATATATATATATATATATATATATATATATATTGAAAAATCCAATTTTTGGTACAGTAAAGTATTGATATATCCAATGAAAAAATCAAGAATCACAAGACTCGAATAATCATTTATATATATATATATATATATATATATATATATATATATATATATATATATATATATATATATATATATATATATATATATATATATATATATATATAAATTTTCAGACAATTACAAAAACTTCATTTAAGATTACAATTTACGTACTGAGGCATTTTACAGGTAAAAGATAAATGAAACAGAAAAAAGGAGGAGCACAGTCTGCCAATATGCATGTTAGCCACACTTTGCATGTTTATGGAGACAAACATTTTGAGGCATTTTTTTTTTTACATTTAATACATTTTAGAAAAGGAATCCCGATGTCATTAGTCTATTTCATATATTTCCAAAAATATATATCTTCACAAAGTCAGAGATCCTGAGTCAACATGTTGCCGTTGACTCAGGACTCCTGATGTTGTGAAGATGAAAATAAAGGTGAAGCTAATATGTTTTCTGCACTTGATATATTTGTATATTATTTTTGTTATAATTTAGGTAATTTAAAATGAAACTCTGATAAAAATTGAAAAAAATCTATATCAATTAATGTTTAAAAGTCGTATAGAGGGATCTTACAATAATCAATATGCAAGAAGTGTGGACTTAGTCAGATCCTGAAGCGCCCCTGTCCTCTTTGATGATTCAAGAATAATAAAACTCAATATGAATAGTAAACACGAATCAAAATTTAATGGGCATTTAATGTCATTAATTAATTTAAAACCAGCACTTTGCCTACCAGCTATTGTATGAAAAAATGTGTTTTGAAAAACATTGAAATGTTTTGAGGATTTACAAATTAAAGTCACTGGAATATAACAGGCTTTAGAAGAACTTTGGTTAAGAATGAAAAAATATGCGAATACTTTTCCCTTTAGAAATATGTGGTTTGTTACAGATTACAACACTTGAAAACAGTAAAAGATAATTTCTGTAATGAAATGATGAATAATTACATATCACCGTGACATATATTTGTCATAAATATGTATTAGCTTGATTTGACCCCTTATCAAATAAGAAATAATGAAAGCAATGTTAGATCACAAGCCATTTAAACATCAAATACTTAATTTTCCAATTTGTGGTAGCTATATTACTTTTAATATCCGTCATTGAATGGATAAATCTAAAATTAATTCAAGATTTAGATGTGTGGTTCGTATAACTATAGACAATTGCAATGATGATATCAATCCGCAAATAGGATAACATGACCGCTGCAGTTATACGTTACAAGTACGATTTTGTACCTTGTAACTAATATTTTAGTTATATTGTCAAAAAGGTCCGAACTTTAAGGAATAAAAAAAAATCTGATATAATCTGTTTTTCTCAACTATACTCTTTATTAAACACCCTACTTCAATTAAACAGTCTATTTAAAGTGAATTCCATAGATACCTTTGAGGAAAAG